TGGGGGGCAAGGAATGGGGGGGGTGATGCTCGGGGGCTGGCTCCAAGGTTTGGGGGTGCTCTGGGGTGGATGCCATGCACCGGCTGCTGCAGACCACATCCTGCAAACAGCCCCAGGCGAGGAGGCACCGTGGGGCCAGAGGGCAGGGAGCTATGGGGAGCCCAGCCCTGAGCATCCCCGGGTGTGGGGAGAGGGGTGAGGGGAACAAAAAATGGCATTGGCTCCTCTTCTACACCCCCCCTCCACCTCTGCTGACCTTTAGGGCTTCCCACGGCTTCCTACGAGCCCACCCTGGGGGGGCTGGAAATCCCCCACCAGCGTGACAGCAGGACATCCCCCCCATCCCCCTCTCTTGTATGCACCGAGCTGCTGCTCCCTGAATTATTGGGGCTGAGGATGGGGGGGTTCTTCTTTCCTGACCCCCCCCCTCCCCTCCTTTGCCACCCGCCTGGTCCTGAGGATGCCAGAGATCCGGGGGGGGGCAGCTCGTGGCTGGAGCCAGCCTCAGTTTTTCCTACACTGGAGGTGGGAGGGAAACCCTCTACAGGGTGTTGGGCAGGAGGGATTCCCTTGTGCCCCCTCCCGGGGGGAAGAAATCCCCCTGCCAGGGTTCAATGTGGAGCCTGGTGGCTGGTGGAGCATCCTCCTCCCCGGCCAGAGGGGTTTTCCCCAGGAGATGATGATGATGGGACCTGAGCATCTCATGCTGCCACCTCCATCCCTGCTGGGAGGGACACCAGACAGAACACAGTGTCACTTTTTTGGGGGGGTGGAGGGGAAAGGGCCATGTTGTTTATCTGAAACTCATCCTCCCCTTCCTGGGGCTGCTCTTTAATGTCACGCTGCAGACTGGCAGCCCTTTATCTGCTTCCACATCTCAACCCCAAACCCAGAAGCAAAGCCTCCCCCTTCTCCTCCTTGCAAAAAGCGCTGAGCAAAAGCCCTGCTGCTGCATCACCCGCGGTGGGGAGGGTGATGCTCGGGGTGCTGGGGGAGCCCCGCTCCCCCCCTGCTTGCCCCCCACCCCAGGCACTGAGTCAGGCCCTGCCGTGACACAGCCCCTGGCCAAAAAAGCCCCTGATGGGCTCTGCAGATGCTCACTGCACCCTGCAACCTCCTGGAGCTGCAGGAGGATGGGGAGATGCTCCAGCGCCTGGGAAGGAGGTCCCAGGGTGGTCGGGATGGACCCTGCACCCTGGCTGGGGGGAGAATCATAGAATCATGGGGCCATCTAGGTAGGAAAGGACCTTGAGGATCATCAAGTCCAACCATCAACCCAACGTGGCCCAAACCACTGACCCATGTCCCTCAGCACCACATCTGCCCAGCTTTAAGAGCCCTCCAGGGATGGTGACTCCACCACCGCCCTGGGCAGCCTCTTCCAAGACTTGATAACCCTTTCGGTATGGAAATTTTTTCCTAATATCCCAATTTTTTCCTAATTCCCAGGAAATGTCTTCTTAATATGGATGAGGGGGTCCCAGATCCCCCCACATGGTCACCTCCACCCCTGAGGACTCAAAGGAAGCTGAGGACAAGGATGGTCCTGCCGTGCCACACCAGGGTCCCCACCACATTCCCAGTGGCTCTGGCTCATCCTGGGGGGAGGAATTTGGGTTTGCCAGCACCTGTGAGCCCACAGACATGTCCATCCCCAAATAACCCCCCTGCCAAGGAGTATCTGGGGTCTCAATCCATCCCCCCTTTGAGCTCCAGGGGTCCCGGCGAGCGTGCCCCCAGAGGAGGGGGTCTCTATCATGAGTCACCAGGAGCACGGAGGGGGAATTGGGAGGGGGGGGACACACCACACAGCTGGGGAGCTGAGGTTGGGGTGCCACTGTCGTCCCCCCCCTCCGAAACACCACCATGTTTCACCCCTCGCTTGGTCCCTTTTCAAGCTAATTTCCCAGAGGATTATATCGTGGTGCTTCACCCTGATCCCTGGGTGCCGGGTGGGGAAACTGAGGCACGACACAACCACTGGGCTCTGGGGGCTCCAGGAACCCTCCAGCCCCCCAAAACCATGGGGGAAGGGGCTGTTTTGCATCCCTACCCCCCAAAACCACCCATCCCCATCTCCCCCCATCCCCGCAGTGCCGGGGAAGGAGGTGGAGGGGGGGGACACACACACACGACACGTGTCCAGCTGTAATTTATCAGCCTCATCAACGGGGCCGTTGGCCCTGATAGGAGCCCTGATGCTTTTCTGCCAAGATTAATGATGACCCGGAGGAGGTGGGCGGGAGGCCACCGGCTGCTTTGGTCACCATTAAGTGACACCCGGGGACTTTGGCCGGCACCGAGGGCTCCCTCCAGCCCTTGGCCACCACCTCCCGTCCCAGCCACAGCCTTTCCCTTCCCCCCGGGGGCCCTGGTCCGACCCGATTTTCCAGCTGGGTGGATCGGAGGCGCACGAGATCCTGGGCTGGTGAGTCAACGCCGTGGCGAAGCTCGGAGAGGGATGGAGACATGGGGAAAGGCTCGTCCCCGCTCCCTCCATCCCCCCTTTGAGCTCCAGGGGTCCCGGCGAGCGTGCCCCCAGAGGAGGGGGTCTCTGGGGGGGGGATGCTCCCTCTGCCCCCACAGCCCTTTCATCCGTAGAGTTTCAAAGCACTGAGAAAGCTCCCGGGATGGGGAGGGGGGGGGAAAAAAGGGGCTGGTGCCCCACGGGACCCCCCAAACCCCCTAGGGATGTGGGGAGCTGCCATTGATGTCGGTGGAGCCCCCGGAGAGACGCGGATGAAAGCCCTGGGTGCCGGGTGGGGAAACTGAGGCACGACACAACCACTGGGCTCTGGGGGCTCCAGGAACCCTCCAGCCCCCCAAAACCATGGGGGAAGGGGCTGTTTTGCATCCCTACCCCCCAAAACCACCCATCCCCATCTCCCCCCATCCCCGCAGTGCCGGGGAAGGAGGTGGAGGGGGGGGACACACACACACGACACGTGTCCAGCTGTAATTTATCAGCCTCATCAACGGGGCCGTTGGCCCTGATAGGAGCCCTGATGCTTTTCTGCCAAGATTAATGATGACCCGGAGGAGGTGGGCGGGAGGCCACCGGCTGCTTTGGTCACCATTAAGTGACACCCGGGGACTTTGGCCGGCACCGAGGGCTCCCTCCAGCCCTGGGCCACCACCTCCCGTCCCAGCCACAGCCTTTCCCTTCCCCCCGGGGGCCCTGGTCCGACCCGATTTTCCAGCTGGGTGGATCGGAGGCGCACGAGATCCTGGGCTGGTGAGTCAACGCCGTGGAGAAGCTCGGAGAGGGATGGAGACACGGGGAAGGGCTTGTCCCCGCTCCCTGCTTCCCAAAGGACTCACCACTTCCAAAAGGCAACATTTCTGGGAGCCAAAAAAGTCCCTTTCCGGGTATAAAATGCCTTTCCTAGGGCAGGAGGAGCTTTGGGGATGCTGAGGAGCATCTCCCCAACTTCACCGGAGCTGGTGGGTGACTGGAGCACAGCAGAAGGAGATACAGCAGTGCCCGGCAGGTGCAATTAAGCCTTAAGATCTTGTGCTAATTAAAGTTCCCCCCACAAAGGAAAGGAAAAAAGATACAGCAGTGCCCGGCAGGTGCAATTAATCCTCAAGATGTTGAGCTAATTAAAGTTCCCCCCCACAAAGGAAAGGAAAAGCTAGGGCAGGAGGAGCTTTGGGGATGCTGAGGAGCATCTCCCCAACTTCACCGGAGCTGGTGGGTGACTGGAGCACAGCAGAAGGAGATACAGCAGTGCCCGGCAGGTGCAATTAAGCCTTAAGATCTTGTGCTAATTAAAGTTCCCCCCACAAAGGAAAGGAAAAAGGTGGGAAACAAAAGGTCTCCACCCTCCTGAAGGTTGCAGGTGGGCCACGAGGTCCTCAGTGGCCACCGTGCCACCCGAATTTCCCCGACCCAGGGATGGAGAGCGCCTGGGGATGCGATGGGCGGCTTTGACATTTCCCAGACCACAAACTCTTATCTTCCATCTCACTCAACGACAAACAGGGCTGGTAAAGTCTCCTGGGGCGAGCAGGGAGGAAGGGCTTTGCACCCTCTGATGTGGCCCGTAAAGCCTTGGGGACACCACAAAGGTCCCCATCTTCAGTCCCGTGTGGGGACAGAGCTGCTGCCCGGTCACAATTTAGCTGCAAAACTGCAAAAAAGTGGAGTGAATCAGACTCCAGAGGAGAAACTGAGGCTCCAGGAGAGATTTTGGGGCGAGGTCTCCAGGCGAGAGTCAGCTGATGAGAAACACTCGAGGAGAAGGATCAGGAGGGGTTGTCTTTTTCCTGATGAAACAAGTCTTTTTGCTCAAGAGCCACCCTGGAGAAACACCTCTGCCGTAAACACCTGATTTCACCATTTCCACCAGCACCAGGCTCGCTGTGGGGGGACACACAACAGAAGCAGGGTCCTGCATCCCCCCCTCTTTCTCCACCACTGTCCCCCGGGCACCTTTGGGTGACACTGCATGACCCTCTGCCCATCAGTGCCATCCCATGGGGACAACCCCGTGGCAGGGTGGGCACTGGAGCCACCACCACGGAGCCATCCTCGCTCCCTTTGAGCTACAAAGCCAAGTTGGGGTTGGTGGGGGGGAGATTTATTTTCCATACTCGCCGTTGCCCCTCGTTTTTTGATTTCCCAGGGATTTGGACCAGGAATGGCTCTTTCTGAGGGAGCTGGGACGGGCAGGACCTGTTTTAGTGCCCTCTTCTGGAGGCTCCAACCCCTCAGCTCCACCACTGAGCTCCTGCCATCCCTCCTGGCACACACCACCTTCCCCAGTTTGGCCCAGAACCATTTCCCAGTTGGGCCACCAAAGCGCAAGCCCACGTCCGTGGAGGGTGAAGGAGGGAGATGCTCTGCTCCATCTTTCCCCCCCCAAAATGGGCTCCTCTACTGGAGGAGAAGGTGCCAGAGGGATGGATGCTGGGGATGGGTGGCACAAGGATGTGGTGCTGGATGCTGGAT